CGTGTCCACTGGAACCAAAGAAGCTTCAGAGAACCTAACAATCATCCAAGACAATCAAACTGGAATCAACAAGGATACGGACGCAACCGACCCAATCAGTCGAGGAACAGACCAGATCAGCCGAGGACCCAAAACAGCCAGCCCAGGAACCAGAACAACCAGAACCAGAACCAGAACCGCAACAATGGAAGGAGAGAACCATGGCGGATAAATAATGTTCTCTGTTCTCCATTAATGCTGAGTTTAACCATCATGTATCTCTGCATCTTTGGACAAATTTCTGCAGCATACCAGACTTGCACAAAAGCCAAAGGTGGCGTGCTCCTCCTTCCACCAAGGAGTAGGAACTGTTCACGATCTGAACCAGAGCACGTACTCAAAACCAAAGTACACCTATTCACTCGCAACGTCACAGCACATGAGTGGGATGCATGGCGCTGCACGAAAGAAATACATGAGATGTGTATTCGTGATCTCCTCTTTTTCCGAGACACGAACAGCACCATCAAAAGGATAGAACCCATCTCCGTGGCCGACTGCAACAAAATCGTTCGCGATCGTAGGATCAACAACACCGATTTAGTTTCAGTATACAGCAACATCTATGCCACCCATGAACCTGAATATTCACCATCTCGTTCATGGAATAAGGAGAGTTGCGAAGAGAAACCACGCATCATTTTGGAAAAAGGAATCATGACAAGGATGCCTGACGACTCCATCATTTCGGACCTGTTACTGAATACAGATGGATGTATGGCACATCATGGAAACTGCCTCTCTAACACCTCTATTATCGTATGGACGCCTCAAGATTATGAAAGACGCTGTGACTATCTGGATTTGAATATTTACGACGCTATCCTAGCTGACAACATCATTCTAATTCCAACTACTCAAACAGCACTTGTAGTCAACCACGAAGCAGTCCCCAAACCGATCAGAGGATGTTTTAATCAACCAGTCTTCCACACAACGTCAGGGAACTACATCACCTTGCCACAATTCCCCATGGATAAGGACATTCATCAGCTCATCGAACGAGAGTTCGCTAAAACAAGGAAGAGGATCAACAAGAGATCCACGACCTCGTGCACCTTTCCGCTGGACCAAAGTTGGATACAGACACAGCTGGACTATGAATCCGTAACTCTGTCCGTCTGCCCATACCCCTTTCTCCGACCAGTCATGAGCAACCCCGGAATCGCTCACATATGGTCAACTATCAAGAAGAGAAAGATGGCCGATCCCTCATATACTTTCTTAAAGTATGCCACTGCTCACAGGGACCAGCTGAAATTTATCTTGAAAACGGAAATCAGCAACCTCGGTCTCAAGTCGTTCTTGGAGTATCACGACTATACAGACCCTGAGGAAGCACTCGTCCAATATCTCGGAAAGAAAGAGCTCTACGCTACCACCAGAGCAAGTTTAAAATACTTGACCACTCAACAGCTCTTGGAACAAATCGCGCAAAGGATCACGGCAGCCGAATTCGACAACCGAATGCTGACCACCCAAGGATACACTTACCGCGAGAAAGCTGAGAATATTGCGCAAAACCTCACTTTCACGCCGGGACCAGTATCTTCATCCTTCTCAGTTNCTTCGTATAATAAACGCTTTGTAGTTGTCGTGTCATATTATGAGTGATTCGTCGTAGCGTGTTGTGAGCAAGTAGTCCATGTTGAGCAGGAGAGGCTGCACTGGACAGAGTGAGTGAGAGAGTATGATTCAGGATCATCCAAGTCTCTTCCCCGTATGTAGTACGAGGTATAGTCTTATGTATCATTGGAGTCAATAGGGTAGTTACGAAGCGCCCTTATCAGATCTGGACCTAGAGTAAGTTGTTGGGTCTATTCCCAGAGTATCCTGCTTCGTCAGATGTAGGAACACTTGTATCACCAAATGAAGTATTCCTTCATCTGTCTTACCTTCTATTTTAACTTGTTATCTTTTGGACATACTTATTGTATAATGTAAATCTTGTATCTTTACCTATATAAACATATATGACCAGGTTGATCTACATTCTCCATAACCTAGCTGTTACGTANATATACTAAATTGGTATATATGTCCGATGCGCGAGCGTTAACATTTCCCAACGGAACGTGGAGGTTCCACCTCGCTTTTGAACTCCTCCATAAAACTGGACAACAAATTGGGCCGCTTGATCAGGCACCAATCGTCCGAATAACCGAGAATAGAATAAGAATAAGGGCCAGCATATCAGAGAAAGGGCTCAGAGTAATTCACTCTTTCGATACCATTGTTTGACTCCACGAAACCCCACCTTTTTTTTTTATAGTTTTGTACGACTGTTAATTACTCTGAGATACTTTTGGTTCATAGTACAAACCTTTCTCGATTTCGAAACTGAGGCAGGACTAGATGTCAGTTGGGGCTGCTCTAGTATCCTTTGATTTTTTTTTTGGTGATGATAGTTTCGAAATTCTTATCCCACCACTTTTTTTTTGTCTGGCCAGACTGAACGATTTCGCGCAAATCTTTTTTTTTAGAACTACAAAAACTACAGATTTTCTGTACCATACACTATTTTTTGATCACTGAGTCATCGCGCGCATTGGGTATGTAGTTCGTATTCTTGAGCATTAACCCAGCTCAAGGTGGTGCTGGTTTAACTTCGGTGCAAGGTATATTT